TGATGGTTGTAAACCTTTAGGATGCAAGTGGATCCTAAAGAAGAAATATAAAGCTGATGGATCGATTGATAAGTTTAAAGCACGTTTGGTGGTCAAAGGCTTTAAACAAAAAGAAGGGTATGATTTCTTTGATACCTATTCACCAGTTACGCGTTTAGCGTCGATAAGAGTGCTTCTTTCGATTGTTGCTTTGCACAATCTTGAGATTCACCAAATGGATGTCAAGACGGCATTTTTAAATGGTGAATTGGAAGAAGAAATATACATGGAACAACCTGAAGGGTTTGTTGCACCTGGACAAGAGAGAAAGGTGTGTAGATTGATCAAATCCTTGTACGGACTGAAACAAGCTCCGAAACAATGGCATTTGAAATTTGATGACGTGATGTTGTCAAATGGTTTCAAAATCAACGAATGTGACAAATGTGTTTATGTCAAGAGTACATCAAATGCATTTGTGATTGTATGTCTATATGTAGACGATATGTTGATCATGGGGAGTAGCCATGAAGTGATCATGGATGCGAAAAGAACGTTGAAAAGAAATTTCGACATGAAAGATATGGGTTTAGCTGATGTTATTCTTGGAATAAGGATTATCAAAACCCAAGATGGAATTGTCTTGTCACAATCTCATTATGTAGAGAAAGTGCTCAAGAAATTTGATACCTATGACGGTGCACAGTCTAGGTGTAAGACACCCATTGATCTTAGTATAAATTTGGTAACCAATAAAGGTCAACCAGTGGCTCAGTTAGAATATTCACGGGTAATAGGGAGTCTGATGTACTTGACGAATTGTACACGACCAGACTTAGCCTACCCGGTGAATAAGTTGAGCAGATTTATGAGCAATCCTAGTCATGAACACTGGAATGCTTTGAGAAGGGTACTTAAGTACTTGAGGTACACCCTTGAATACGGGCTAAAATACTCGAGATATCCAGCCGTACTTGAAGGGTACTGTGATGCAAGCTGGATATCAGATTCGAGAGATTCTCGTTCCACTAGCGGATATGTATTTTGTATTGGAGGAGGTGCAGTTTCGTGGAAATCCACAAAACAAACGTGTATAGCTCGTTCAACTATGGAATCGGAGTTCATCGCTTTAGATAAAGCTAGTGAAGAAGCCAAGTGGCTTAGAAATTTTTTATCCGATATTCCATGTTGGGATAAGACTTTGCCGCCTGTGATGATTCACTGTGATAGCCAAGCTGCTATAGGAAGGGCGCAAAGCAAATTGTATAACGGTAAGTCTAGACATATACGTCGTAGACATAATACCGTACGCCAATTGATCACAAATGGTGTTATTTCCATTGACTATGTGAAGTCTAAGGAAAATTTGGCTGATCCTTTGACGAAAGGATTGAATAGAGATCAATTGGTAGTTTTGCTAGAGGGAATGGGCTTAAAAACCCACAATGTAAAGAATGACCATAGTGGTAACTCTACCATGTTGAATGGAGATCCCACAAACTTGGTTCAAAGAGAAAACTAAACTATGAAAATTCAGTTGAGCACTTGGAACATATGAATGTTC